GTCGTGCCCGATTGGCGCGCTGCACCGTGTCTCGGCGGTCGGCGCGTGACGGACCGAAGGGACCGAAGCGCCCCACGAAGAGCACTGCGGAGCAACTGCCCGTCGGACGTCCGTTCGTTCCTCAGCGGCTGCCGAAGCCTTCCGCCACATTTTTGAACCGCGCCCAAGACAAACGCTAGCCGCCGTGTCGCCGCGTGTCCCCCCGGCCTCGGCGCGGCCAGGACGCCAGCACTGCCACGTACAGTAGAACGTTAGAACGGCCCGTGAATTATCTCGGTATCGCCGCGCTAGAGTGCCGAGCCAGGCTGCGCAGCGTGCTCTAGAGCGTGCTCGTGCACGTCAGCCTCGACGGCGAGCTCGACGGCCTGGTGGAAGTAAGGCCTCAGCGGGGCCGGCCGGCAGACAGGCCCTTCGCCCAGCCCTTGTAGTGTAGGCGGCCCTCCACGGCCCTCGCGGCTAAGCCGGGCCGACGAGGCGGGCAGCGCGATTGTTTTCGGATTGTCAGTCAAGCGGGACCGGCCTTCCTTCCTTCTCTGTCGCACTCGCTCCGCGGCGCCGCCTTGGCCCCGCCGCGCGCTCTGATTGGACAAGGAGGGAAGCGCGGCGCTGACCTTCTCCGCGCCGTCGGCCGATGCCGGCCGATGCAGTGCCCCTCCCCCCGGTGGGGCCTAGTCGAGTTTGGAGTGCCCGCCGAGTGCTGCCCGCCGTCAAGCAGGCCTGCAGGCAGTGGGCGGTGCAGCTCGGACAGTGCTTCCTCGCGCTGCCTCTCTCGCACCCCCAGGGCTGCCCCTTGAGTGCGAGGGAGACAGCGCGACTGCCCGGAGTCAAACCGCTGGTCAGCTGCTATCTGGCCATCACGCGGCCGCCCGGCCACGGTTCGGTCCTCGATGTCCTTGGCGCCGTCATGCCGAGTCAGCGCGGCAGTCAGCCCGGCAGTCAGTTGTCAGCCGCGTCAGCTCGCCCGTCCGACCGTCTATTTCGAGCGTGATAAAGCACGCCCCGATGAAATTGCTCACGTCGCCCGTAAAGCCGCTTATTTTGTGCTGAAAATAAAAGGAGGAATAAATGGAAGGGTTGCTGCGGCGGCCATCTTGAAACTTGACCGCCAGCCGGGCGGGGGGGGGGGGGGTGGGGCGGTCTGCGGTGCGGCGGCGAGCGCGGCCTGACTGCTCGGCCTGCGCTAGGGCTGCGGTTTGGTTTGGTTCAACCATCCTCACTGTAACTCACGCCGGGGAAAAAATAATTTCGCGGTCGGGACGCGCGATCCGGAGCCCTTGCAGCGAAGGCTAGCGAGCCCAGCGCTAGCCGTCTCTCTCGCACCCCCACGGACCCCACGGCACGGCCCGCGAGCGCGAGAGAGACGGAGCGACGAAATCGCTGTTCAGCCTGCAGCCCCGCAGCGCCTGGGAAGGGAACAAAAAACGCGAAAATGATGAGGCATTCCGTGATCCCCGACGGCGCGGTGGAGGCGCGGGTTCAAGGCCCGGCCGGGGCGGCCCTTTTTGCCCTTTTCATTAGCGGTGGCTGCCACGCTGCCAGTGTGGCTGCACAACCTCGCCGCGCCATCGCCATTACGGCGGCCAGGGCCTGTCGATCTCCATTCCGTTTTACTCGTTTGCGGCATGAGACTTGATTGTGTCGGATGGCACCGTCCCGATTCGAGATCCGAGCGTCGGATTGATTGGAGCCGAGCCGTGCCGTGCCGTCCGGCCGGCCAGGAGGCCTATTCGTGGAAGTCCTGTCCTCTTGGCAGTGGAGTGGAGTTCCTGCTCGGCACGGGGAGGGGGCCGAGGTAAGGCCGAGGGGGCTCTGAGAAAGCCAAGCACTGTGCTGCAGCTCGGCAGGTACGGGACGGCGGGCCTGTCAGAATACGAATAGGTTTTTGCGAAATGTATGGGGCCCGAGCCAGGGCGGGCCAGGCGGAGCCGAGCCCAGCCAAGCCTCCCGGGGCCGGTGGCGGCCCAGCCTCCGAGCTGCTTTGCAGGGCCTTCTTTTCAAGCGGGCCGTACGGCTCCACGGCAGCACTCTGCGGCACGCCTAAGCCGACAATGCCCGCTCGCTCCTCATGACCCGGCCGGTCTTGATTACACCTGCATTACTTGATACCGGAGTCCTGCACTGCAGCCACACTGCAGCGTGCACCAGCCCAGGCAGGCCCGGTTTTGTTGTTCGTGACAAGTTCCCCGAAGCGTTGTTGCCGCCTGGGTTGCCGTCGTCGTCGTGGTCGCCGAGCGCGTCTTCCTGGACAATGTGTCTCTCTCGCACGTCCAGACCCATTATCGCCCGTCCTTTTCTTATCGCGACGCCCCGCGTGACGGGCCGGCCCACCCCCGTGTCGCCTGTCCGTCTGCGGTGTCGTAGTGCTGTCTGTCTGTCTGCTGCTCGGTCTGCTGTCTGTCTGTCTGTCTGTCTGTCCGTCTGTTCGTTCGGCCGCCATGTAATTTATGGCGATCCTCATTTTCTGTCGCACCGGATTTGGCACAGCCGGACGAACGTGTCGCGTGTGATTGTGGGTTCGATCCCCCCCGTCGGCCGAGAAATTCCTGCCTGCCGCAGCGGTGCAGCGAGCAAGCGAAGCAGGGCCGCCGCTGTGCCGCTCGCTGCTGCATGACGTTAGTATTCGCAGTGCGGCAGCGCGGCTGCGCGGCCGGGAACCAGTCCGTTTCGATACCATCAGAGCCCCTCTCGGCTTGGCTTACATTTTTGCTGCGCGGTTGCATAAAGAGGCTCTGCAGATGATGAAGCAGGCTTCTGTTTAGGCCGCTATCGACGTCAGGCCCCGCCACGCCCCGCCGCGCCCCGCCGCGCCCCGCCACGCCCCGCCACGCCGCGTCTTTGTCCGCCTCTTACGTCGAATTTAACGGCTACTTATCATACTTACAGCGGACCAGGGCATTGTGAACCTCCTGAAAACGTGCTCGGTCCGTCTGTCTGTCTGTCTGTCTGTCTGTCTGTCTGTCTGTCCGTCCGACGGGCCGGCCGGCCGTGCGGCGGCCGAGCCCGGCCGACCGGCAGCGTATTTGGCGTGATTTTGCTCAGCCAAATCAGGGGGTGCTATTGTTGCGGTGCTCCAGCAACCCCTCATGAGTGCGAGAGAGATGGAGCGCTGTGCTGGCCGCGACGGTCCGTATCGTAGTGTGGGCACTGATTGGTCTGTCCGCTGCACTGTCGCACCACGTGGCTGGCCACGTGACGTGCCACATCGCGGCGGCGGCAACGGCCCTTGCTCAGCCAGTATGGCTTCGGCTCGCTTCACAAATTTTAAATCCGATTATAGGATGCCGTGTAATCACGAAGGCGGAGGCGCAGGCATGGCGCGGTACCTCCGTCTTGGCCTCCCCCCCCCCTCCCCTTTCCCCCTTCACCTCGCCGACCGCAACGGGCACGACGCCCACGTGTAAAATTCGCTTTTTCCATTAACTCGGATCGTGCCGTGGTGTGCCGTGGTCGACGGAGCCCCGCCGCCCGCCCCGCCTCGCACAAAAATCATTGCTGCTGTCTATAATTCCCTTTTCTTCCATTACTGCATGGGGCTCGCCTCGCCGGCGTGCTGGCGTAATGAATACCTGGCTGGAAGGGCCTGGCCGCCTGGAGGCTGGAAGCCCTGCTGGAAGCGCGGCTGGAAGCGCGGCTGGAGGCTCCAGCGCGCTAGCGCGCTCCAGCGGCACAACAATGCCAAACACTCCGCCGCCAACTTATATAGGCTTGAAGCGAAGCGGACGCTGATGACGGCGATTGTACGCGGAGCAGCGCGGAGCGAGGCGCGCGTCGCTCTGCCTCCCTCGCACCCGAACGGGGCGCCCCGCGAGTGCGAGAGAGACGCAGCGCGCGGGAGGCTGCCGGTGGTGGCGAAGAGAGAGGCTGTCGGAGGTTGTGTGGCTTGTTCCCCGTCTTTCAAGGGGGGATTGTAGTCTGCTGGCCCTTCCCGAGAACATCGCATCACGGCCGGCGAGCACCGTCTCCCTCGCACCCGCACGGCACGCCCCCGTGAGTGCGACGGAGACAGAGCGACGACTCTCGGCATCAGTCCGCTGCGCGCGGGGCCGCGGAGCCGCGAAGCACAGCGCGCACCAGTTTTCGTGAGCGTGGGCTTTTTAGAGAGACGCTTCCCTTGTGGGCCTGCCTGGGCGGGGCGGACGGGCGGGGCGGGCGGACGCCCCTGCGGAGCGATGCCACGCAGCGGTTCGCTCTGTCTCTCTCGCACGCGTACGCCCCGCCCCGTGAGTGCGACAGAGACAGAGCGACACCGTTTGGGATCGGCTCGCTGGAGTGTTGATAAAGCTCCTTCTGAACGCTTCCGCGCGCCCTCTACAGGGTGGTCCGCGAATTTTTCCTTCCGCGAGTGAATGGCGTGGGGGGGAAGGGGGGGGCTTTGGTGCGGAAAGAATGGCCGATCGAAAATAGCCCTCCATTACCTCTATCCGGCCCGGCCTGTTGTAAGTCTGTTTCCGAACAGTGTGTCTCCGTCTCTCTCGCACTCTCTCCCGTCGTTCCGTGAGGGCGCGAGAGCGGCGGGGGCGCGGCCGGGCGGAGTCCGCACACGCACGCAGCGCGCAGCACAGCGATTGTGGCCCGGCGAATAGAATCCCAGATGAGGCTTCATTTAGACGCTCTTTATTTTACGGCCCGATAGCGAGAGGAAACTCGTGTCATAACGGAGAGAGAGAGAGAGAGAGAGAGAGAGAGAGAGAGAGAGAGAGAGAGACGGTAGAGTGTCCACTAGGCCTGCACAGCGCACAATGGCGCGAGCGCGCACTCTGAAAATGTCAACACTTGTTATTTACTCTGCGTTGTTACGGCTACCCTTCGCGGCATTTGAAAAATTGTGACCTTTTGAGAGCGCGGCCGGGCCGGGCGTTGCTGTGGCGTTGCTGTGGCGTTGCTACGCTGGCGACGCTGGCGCGGCGCTCCCGGCCCGCTCGAGATGACTTATCTCGGGACTGGCGCCATCTGGCGGAGGCGAGGCAAAGCTAACCGTCGTCTTTCCTCTCGGATTTCAGATATCATCGCCTCCACCTGTTCGGAACTCAACAACAACAATAACAGCAGCAGCAACAACAACAATAGCAGCACCTACATGAAGCAGCAACAGTCACAGCAGCAGAGCAGCAGTAGCAGTCATAGTCAAACTAGTAGTACCTCCGGCAGCACCGCCGGCAGCACCTCCCAGCTGTTTGAACGGCAGCTGGGCGGCAGCTGCGCGTCGTACCAGCAACTGCCCGGCTACCACGACAGCCTGGGCTGCAGCCTGGGCAGCCTCGGCTGCAAGGCCTGCCAGTACCCGCAGCACCACAGCAACCAGCAGCACCCTGGGTCGCAGGCGGCCCAGGCCAACAGGCTGTACGGCGGCGGCCTGGTCAAGGCGGTGGAGCCCAACCCGGAGATGGCCACCAACCCCGTCCCCGCCAAGGTGAGTCTCTAAGCTGAGCTGAAAAAAAGGGGTGGGGGAACCTCTTACCGCGCCGTCCAATTTGGGCAGGCTGGCTTCTGTACACCAGCTGTTGGGCTATGAGAAATTTACTGCTGTATTTATGCTGGGCTCGGCCCGGGCGCGGCGCAGCACGGCAGGCTGTTTTCGAAATTTCCTCAGTGCCGAATACGGCCGTGGATGCCGTGTTTGTGACCTTTACGACTTGCAGTAAATTGTTGGACGGGACTGCGGGACGGCGCGGCGGGCTGGGCATGCCTGAAAGCCTTTTGATGCTGTCCGTCCGCCGCCGTGCCATTGTACCGGCCCCGTCTATTAGAAGGCTTAATTAGAAACAAGGGACACCCCGCGGGGGAAAGATGCAGAGAAAGGGGAGAGAGAGAGAGAGAAGGAGGGAAGAAAGGAAAGAAAGATGGCGTGCTGCTGGGAGTCGAAGAGCTACCTTTTCATATCGTAAAGTGCAGAGCGGACCGGTCGGGCTTGAACCACTATGTTTGACAGTCGCTTTGTCTCTCTCGCGCTGCCGAGTGCGAGGGAGACGCAAAGCCTCGCGGCACTGTCATTGGCCGGCAAATTACCCCGGGCCGCCATCAAATAATGACGCCGGGTTTCCAAGTGCGCCTTGATGATGGCCCGATTGGGCATGATGCGTGTCTGAGACTGTCTGAGGCGCCGGCCTTCTTCGGCTGTCCGCTCTTTCGCTCTCCAGCGGTTCGAACTGAAAGGATAAAGGATGCGCGAACAATCCGGAAGGATGCCCGAGGATGTTGCACCTGGGCCCAGCCTGCCCAGCCCTGGGGAGCGATCTTCCACTCGGCTTGATTGATTCCGCTGGAGCGGACCTTGCACGAGGCTAGGGCCGAGGCGAGGGTCGCCGCGAGGCTAGTGGCCCTGAGAAGCCTTTGCCGCGTCTTGTCAAAGTAATTTGGTCGCCGGCTGTGGCATTGATGAATAGAGCGGCACCCACGGGGCCCGGCTAGCCGCACTTGCAGGGGCTCTCGTGGGCTTGGGCACGGCTTGGGCACGGCCAGGGCCACGGCGCGGCGAGGTATCGCCGAGGTTTGCTCGTTAAAATGCTATTAGTGACGTCACGGAACCCCTACAACGGCCGCAACACGATTAGACGAACTGGGTCGCCAAATGCGAAATGGGCCTCAAGTTTTTGGCAGGGTGCTTCCTTTCCTTTTCTGTCGCCGACCCGCCGGTAGACTCGGTCTGACTCGGTCCCCGAGGTGCGAGCCGAGGCGCGAAGGGTCCGCAAAGAGAGAGGGGGGGGGGCCTCCCTTCACGCTCGCGCGGTCAAATGGGCCACAGCCGTGTGACGTCAGTTTGTTTTGCGACGACAGTCATGCTTTATAGTCAAATGGGACAGACGGCAGCTGGCGTGCGCGACGCCCTGCGACGCCCGTGTGACGACGACGGCGCTTTTGTGCGCCTTTTTGTTTGCCTCCCTTTTTGTTGTTGTTTCATCCCCGCCTGTCTTTCGTCTTCTCGGGTTTTTGCGACCTCGGTCTCCCTTTACTACCCCCCCGGCCCCCCACTTCCGGCAGTTAAAATGTTGCTTTTGGACATTGGCCTGGAACCGGAAGTAGTTAGCACTGTCCTGCGATCGATGTGGCAGTGCGACGCAGTGCGTTGCCACAGTCCTTTATTTCCCAGGGGAGGCCTGCAGCTCTGCAGCTCCACAACAACAACATTGTTATATTGGAAAGGCGCGGAGTAAAGTCTGTGGCGGGGTGGCTGGCGGCGCGCCCCGCCCTCCGCTTTCCCTAATGTTCATGCGTGTGGCGCGGCGCCCCCACCGCGAGGCTAGAAGCCGTAATCCCGGCAGGCAGGCAGGGCCTGCTCACTTCGAACACCGGTTTCGGCGGTTCGTCCCCCTCGCACCCTCACGGAACTTCCCACGAGTGCGAGAGAGAGACAGACTGACTGTCCGGCGGCGTCGCCGTGCAACTCTGCAGGGTCACGAGACGAGTGGCTGTGTTTGTGCTTGCGCGCTGCGGCCGGCCGACCGGCCGGCTGGCTGGCTGGCTGGCTGGCTGCGCCAAACCACGCCACACAGCGCGGCGGTTTGTCCCGTTGATTGAAAGCCCCGCCTTGTGCCGTGTTTGGTGTTCGGTGTGTTTGGCGCACAGACGACGCTCTTGTGCGCTCGCCGCCCGCCTCGCCCGGCCGCGGCCAGCCGTCGCTTCGTGTCTTGTCGTCCGGGTTGGCGGCTCGGCTGGGTTGGTCCGACGCCGCCGCAGCGCGCCGCAGCGACTCAGCAACAAAATGGCCGCAGGCCGATTCCGAGAGCCGTCTGTCTCTCTCGAGCTCGAACGGGACGTCCCATGGGAGGGCGAGAGAGACAGGAACAACAACGACTCTCGGAATCAGGCTGCTGTGTGCGGCTCGGCTCCCGCAAGGCTCCCGCAAGGAGGGCCGGGGACCGTCTGTCGCACTAATGGCACAGGCAGCCACTTAAATGTCGTGCTAAAATGTTTGACTTTGCGCCGACGACGCGGCTGACGTGGCTCCACCGCCGCCACCGCCACCACACCTGCGCGTCGCGGGACACGCCGCCGGCCGCTATGTCATAATTGGGGCCGTTCGGGCCTGTGATATGTCAACCCTCGTCGAGACACACACACACACGCACACGCACACATGTCGTGAAATATGAAGGGCGGTTGCCTACACGCGTGGCGTTGCGGGCAGGCAGTGAGTGTGGTGGACGGCGAGGACGCGGCCAAGCTCCTGGTGGTGGTGTTGGTGTTTGTGCGATATCGTGCCGCGTCCAAGTTAAAAGGGGAAGGGGGTCGTTTTTGGCGTTTATACGGCCGCGCCGTTACGGGCCGAGCGAAAGGGCTGGCGGCTTCTAGTCGCGCGTGTGTGTGTGTTTGTGTGAGTGTGTGTGAGTGAAGCGAGCAGCCTGCCATTGTCATTTACGGCTCCCCGTTGCTCCCCTTAATTGCCTTATAGATACAGGACACGCACACACCACCGCCGCGATGTCTCCGTCGTCTGCACTCTAGAAGTGGTCCGGATGCACGCTCGTGCGTGTGTGTGTGTGTCCGTGTGCGTGCTTGCGTGACCTCTAGCGCACGCGGTGGCCGCGCCGATTGGACGGACGGACCGTTTTCCATGGCGCGCGTGCTCGCGTCGCCGGCTAGATAAATAAAGATGATTAACGCGTGCTGCGCGATCGGCGGCGCGGAGGGAGGGGGGGGGGAGGGGCGTGGCCAGAAGGGGTTTTTGGCGGAGCACCACCGCGGCGCAGCGGGCCTTGATCCTGGCGGAGGCCATGCTGGCCCTGCTGGCTGGGCCCAGACGCCCTCCCCCACATCAATCACTCGACACGCCGAGAAATGAAACGCGAGGCATCGATCCTTGTCGCACAGTGCCCGCAGGCAGTGCCCCTTGCATGTGCGTAGATAAATGGGCCGCGAGGTTTTCACCGCAGAAAAGTCTTCATTTCTCGCCGAGACTGGGCTGGGCTCTGCGCGCACTCTGCGATGGCGCTGGGGGTTCTGGAGGAACCGCCCGCGCCACAGCGCCGGCAGCCCCACCGCCGCCATCCCACGGGAACCCCTCATCCTGTGTGTGTGCAGTGCGGGCGGCTATAAAATCTGAGGCAGCGCAGCGCCAGCAGCCCTCTCTCTCTCTCATTCGTATATTTGTGTGCGTGTGTGTGTGTGCTGACGTCGAGGCGCGTGCAGAGGAACTCGGAGGAACCCTTTCTGCGGCGGAATGCGTCACTTCTATTGGAGCGCGTGTTGTCCTGGAGGTGGACGTCGACGTGGAGGACGACGCGGTGGCGGTGGAGGTGGCGGCGGACACCTGGGGAATTTCGGCGAGGGAGCTGAGCTGAAAGGGAACGAAGGGCATTGTAATACCGGCCCCGACAATGCGGCGTCGCAGAGCGCTCTGCCTCTCTCGCACCGGCGGGGCGCCCCGTAGGGGTGCGAGAGAGACAGCGACGAGAGCGTTGTTCGGTCGGTCGGTGCACGCCGCTCTCCGTCCGTACAGCAACAATTGCGGCGTGGCACTGGCGGTGTGCATCTAGTACTTTGGATTTATGGCGCTGTTTGCGTCTCTCTCGCTCTGCGCCTCTCTCTCCCTCCCTCTTCGGAGGAGGGGGCACCACCCACCGTAGCACCCCGGTGCGAGTGTGTGTGTGTGTTTACTACCACTACCTCTACGTGGAAACGGCGTGGAAAGCAAAAGTGTGTGAGAGGGGGCGGATGGAAAGACCGCAGCGGGGCTGCTGCAGCGCCCCACCTTAAAAATCCCTGGGCTTCCTGGAACGAAAAGCACACACACACACACACACACGTGCATGTCTGGAGCGCAGTGTGCTGTCTAAGTGCACTTGCAGGATCTCTCATCGCTCGCGCTGTACTGCCCGTTGTGTCGAGGACAGTGGCCTCGCTGGCCATGCTGGCCGAGCTGCTGGCGAGGCAGGCCTGCGCCCGCACCGGCCGCACACACCGCACGGACGGCATCCATCGCGTTGATGCCCTCAATGCCCTCCTCTCCCTCCGCGCTGTCCAATTGATCAGCATTCGATTCGGAGCTGAGGGCCTGGAGGCCGAGGAGGGGACGCTCGCTCGGCCGGGGAGACGGGGCTGCCAGCTGAAAGAAGCCTGATACATCGGCCGTGACGCCGTGTAAAAAGAAGTATCGGGAAATGACGGGATATTTTCGTTTTGATAGATTGTGGCGTGCACGGAGCACGGCGGAGCACGGCCAGCAGCGCGGCCAGGAGTGGCAGATAAGAAAGAATTACGCCGGCCGGGTCGATTTAGCCTTTAGCCAGCACACCGCGGAGCGGAGGTCATCGGATTGAACCGACTCCCCTCGGATAAAAAAAAAGCGAGAGGGGGGAAATAAATTGACATAATTCTTGAGAAATCCCCGGTGGCGACGCGTCACTGCGTCGCTGCGCGTCGAGCCGAGCCTGCCTCTCGTTTTGTCACTGTCGTCGTGACATTCGGCAGTGA